CCCATTGTCTCAATTTAAGTAAGAAGAAGAAGATGTTTGAAGAACTGTGTAAGATTCCCAGCAACGTTTATAAAAAATTCCACAGACAACTTTCAGAACACTTATAAATACAGAAAAGAATTCTGGGATTTCTTTCAGTCCTGCCTAATTCTCTTAAATCTGCCATGAATTATTAACAGAATTCACAGTTGCCAGCACAGACTCCAGCCAAACTAGTGATGTTACAATGATCTACTATCCGAGGCATTCCACAGGTGTAGAAGCCTTTTCAAAACATTCTTAGTGTTGGCTTACTTAGAGGAAATGAAGGCCAAGGGAGCTTGCTGGAATATGTCCAGATTTACAGATCAAAGATCTACAAACTGTGTAAGAGTGCTGTGGTGAATGCTCCAAAGAGTGTGTAGCAAGAATGGAGCTCTTGACTACTTGTCCTATTTGGTCTCCAGTACAGAATATCTCCTTTTGGCAAGCTCCACACGGAGCTGAAACAAAAGCCAGTTCTTTCATTTGGGTGTCTGAATGTTGTAACCCAATGGAGTAGAAAGAGCAACAGCCAATTTTTATGCTTTGCAGCATTAAATGTGAAATACAACGATAGAATAATTCTTATAATAAAAATGGCTTCGTTCCAACTGTGCCTGGCAGTCCAACTGTGGCCTAAAATAGCTAAGATTATATGCCCTTTATTTTCACAGAACAAAAAGATCTACAGTAATGAGCAATTAAAGTTTGTCAGCACTTGAATGGACGCTACAGCAAAAATGGCAATTTTCTAAGCCAAACTGAATTTTTAGCTCAATAGTTGGGTGTGCCGGATATTACTGTGCTTAAATCACTTAATTTTTTTTTAAACAGGGGAGATCCACGTTCTAAACTAATTATAAAATTATGTCTTTGTTTCAGTACGTCAAACAATTTTTTTGTGTTCTATTATTTGAAAGACTGAAGAAGGAACCACACTTCAGTGCTAGAACTTTCTAGCAGATCTGGGTTCCATCCCTCACAATTAATACGTATCTAATAACAAGTGATGGGAAAGCTTTATCGAAAACCCTTTTAGGATAAAGCGGGTTTTATAGGTTTTTGGGGGGAAGTTCTTGTAATCAGAGCAAGGACAAAACTAGATGTTGTCATATAACTCCTTGTGTAGGTGTGGCGGTCACCCATGGCCCAGTGCATAACAGGGCATGCGCAGCCACGCTGAACCACACAGGAAAAAACAAACTCCTAAAAGACATAACATCCTGATAGTTCACTCTAGATGTGCTTTACCCAACGACGCCCAGGATTTGACCATATATAGACAGAACTTCCCTGAGCAGTAGATTAGCAATTGTAGTTTGACAGGCTGTCTTAAATCACATGCTGATTGCTCCTCCTGCCTTTGTCCTATCTCAATAAAAGGGGCTCCCAGACCCCAATCTGGGTCGCCTCATCCCGAGAAAGCTCGTGTCCGTGTCTTTTCTCAACATTGGCCTCATGGGCGAACCACGGGTACATCACAACTAGATATGGTAAAATAGAAAGTGGCTGCCTCAAGAATAGAGTACATTTTTAAAAGCCATATACAGGTTGTCCTTGACTTACAACCAGACTGTTTAAGTTCCAGATTTCCAATGGCTCTTCACACTCACACATGGTCCCATGACTGCATTTCAGGCAATCAGCTCTCTTTTATGTCCGGGTGTAGCATTCCGTGGTCACAATGTCCACAATTTACAACACTGTAGTTTTCAGCACAAAAAAACGCGCATAGGATTACTTTGGTTCACTTATTGACTATTACAAAACAAATAAGAAAATTGGGTCCAGTCACATGGTTGTCTCAACTTATAACAGTCTTGACATGATGAAAATTCCAGGCTCCATTACAGTTGTAAGTTGAGGATTATCTACATGGGTTTCCTCCACCATTCATTTTCTTAAAACCACTAAGCTTAATTTACCTTACTATAAAACAGTGGCAACTAAGAAAGCGATCAGTGTGCAGGAAAAAACAGGAAAAGCTCATTGTCTCTCTAGATTCTTTACTTTTTACCCAAGAACTAGAAAACATTTTTATATAAGGCAGCTTTATATCTCCTTAAACTATTCCCAAAATTCTAGGTACATTTTATTAATTAGAATACATCAATTAGAGAGAACTCTAAAATAAGAACAATTATTCACTAATTAATCTAAACAGATCTATGATGTCTGGGTTAAGAAGCTAAACTGGTTTGGTTAATAATACATGGATTGTGACAATCAGGGAGAGCTAGCTTGGTCCAATGATTAAGGCTTCAGGCTAGAAACCAGGAAAGTGTGAGTTCTAGTCTTATCAGCTAGTTGACTTTGGACCAGTTATTCTCTCTCAGCCTAACTCAGTTCACAGGAGAGGTTGTTGTGGGGAAAATAGAAGATAGAAATATTAGGTATCTTTGCTGCCTAGAGTTATTGATAAAAATAATAAAAGTGGGATAAAAATATAAAATAAATAAATACCAAAACTATAAGTTGAATTGGGAAACTGAAAAATATCCCAGAAGAAGAAAGCGGCAACAGCAAAATCGCTTCAGTATTTTTGCCAAGGAAACTGCATTTTATTTTCCATGCCACTGTAGTTGCATCACAAGAAGCCAAACTCAACTCAAGGCCAACTTTATCTTATTTGGTTCAGTTTCACATATCTACCCCTACGAGAAGGAGTATTAGGGATTATTCTTAGAAACAGCCAAAATATTTTGATAGGGTTGAGGTAGGCAAATAACACATCACAAAGCTCAAAAATTTCGAAAACAGCAAGAATTACTTTACTCCACATAAAAGCATTAATATAGTTAGAGCAGTCTTGTCTAGCTGACTGGCTCTTCAAGAGAGGGGAATTTCCAAGTTTTATGTGGAACTATGGAAGACTGAATGTTATTTTTTTCCATGCAAATTAGGCGCTTTAGCCCAGATTCTTCTCTTACACAAATGAAATGAGATCAATCATTAACAGTGTGTTGTCCTTATACAAGTATGTCTCATTTGACCATTTAAAATAAATCACTGCCTAATAGTGTAACATTGTATCTGAAAAGTCTATCCACAAGCCCAAACATGTTAAGAATATAAGTATATGGATGTAATTTCTAATCTGCACTGAAGCATCTGCAAAATGCACACCTTTTGATATGTAAACTGTTTTAAGATTTAAATCCCACCCCGCATGCACATTTAGCTATTTCAGCATATATAGAACTCTAGCATGCCAATAATTAAATGGGTAATGAACTCATCCTAAATTACAAAATGAGTACATGAGCACATAGCAACATTAGCAAGCCAAAATCACCACATTTACATGAAGTGCAACATAGCTGATACCCAAGTGGCCCCCAGAGCAATATACATTGAAAATATACATAAATGCCGCACTAATTTATTGTATTATTTTATAATTGTTTTAAATTAGTTAAAACAGAAGAACACCTGAGTTGCTAATATCCTTATTCAGATATCAAGGGGGGAGTTTTTTCTCTTTTTATATTTTTTCTAGAGTTCTTGATAAAGATGGGCTAATAATTTAAAATCTGCTTGCCTCGTCCTTTGCCAGTGTATTCTATCACTGACCCAGAAAAAAATAAAATTGTCTTCTAAAGAAAAAAGCATTTTCAGCCTCCCAGCTTGCAGAAACAAAAAAGTGGGTTTGCTGGAGGGGGAGGCAAGTATTACTAAATGTCTCTCAGAAGCCCATCTTGAAGGAACATACTTTGATTTATGGATTCTCCCAAACGGAGCCCAAGATTACTCTGATCAGGAGTTACCAACTCCTGCCTCGCTTCAGATATCCTACTTAGTAATTACATTGTTTATTTGGTTTTGGCTTCAAGTGTTCTCTGAGCCCAGTCTGTGGGATTCCAAAACATGCTTTATGGTCAGCCCGTTGTGTGAACCCATACAATTGTGTTCCTCATTGGCTCAAGGTTGACTCAGCCTTCCATCATTCGGAAGTGGGTAAAATGAGGACCTAGATTGTTGGGGACAATGTGCTGACTCTGTAAACCGCTTAGAGAGGCCTGTAAAGCACTGTGAAGCTGTGTATAAGTCTAAGTGCTTTTGCTACTTCATAAAGTCTGATAAAGCAACCAATGGCTTATTGTGAACAAAGTTCTTAAGTAAGGTCCTCTATGAAGTATACAACAAACAAAGCCTCTCTGCAAATACAGATGGTCCTCGACTTACAAGAGTTTATTTAATGACCATTCAAAGTTACAATGACACTGAAAAAAGGACCTATATGACTGTTTTTCACGTATGACCATTATAGCATCCCTACGGTCACATGTTCAAAATTCAGATGCTTGGCAAGTGGTTCATATTTATGACGGTTGCAGTGCCCTGGGGTCATGTGATCAAGTTTTGTGACCTTCTGACAAGCAAAGTCGATGGGGAAGCCAGATTCCGTGTTACTAACTTAACAAATGCAACTATTCACTTTAACAACTGTGGCAAGAAAAATTATAAAATGGGGAAAACTCACTTAACAAATGTTTCGCTTAACAGCATACATTTTGGGCTCCATTGTGGCTGTAGCTCGAGGACTAGATGTACAGCCATGGTACCATGGAGGGCATCCGAGCTGCCTGTACCACCTCCACCATCTCCCATCCTAAGGGACTCACACTCTGTTTTAGCCCTGAGGCCAAAAGACAAAATGCTCAGAGACGCCACCCACTGTGAAAACTAAAGAAAAAGCTGCCCAGGTGGAGAAGAGTTTAGGTGGGACAACTGGGCTTAGCAATGGAACCGGTACTACCCCTGCTCTTGACTCTAGCCCTCCCTGCCGCTCTGACCCGTGCCTGGCCCTGGAAGGCTCTTCGTGTCTGCCAAAAAAGGGGAAATGCCTTGGGAAGGCGCTGCCGGGGACAGCAAAAGGGCTTCCCCTCGAGGGCTCCCCAGAAACCGCACCCCTCTTCCCCCCAAACCCCTCGCCTGGTGGAGGGCTGGAGGCGCTCTCCCGTCTCTCTTGGACTTGCCTTAAGCTGCGACTTGGAGACTTTACCGCTCCTGTCCAAGTCGAGGGCGGTGAAAGCGTGCCAGATGGGCTTCAGGAGCTCTTCCTTCAGGCTCCCCATGGCTCCCCTTCTCTGCCTCCCGGCGCCTGGTTCAAAGCGCGCCTTCTCCTCCCCCGAGGGAGCCGCTCCGCCGCTCGAGCCGCGGGACCTTCGCACCCTCGCGGGCTGCCTCCAGCCGCCTCCGGCAGGCGGCCCCGCTAGGAAGAGAGCGGCCTACGCACCGCGAGGTTTACGAAAACGTTGTGCGGCTGTGCTTCCGTCTCAGCCCGGACCCCGGCCTGGAACGGTGCTTTTCAGAGAGAAGACTTAACTGGAGGGCACAGGCGCCTTCCTCCCAGACCAGGCTCTGACTTCATCTGTGACGGTGGGCGGGACTAAATTGCAAAGCCTTTCCCGACAAAAATGCAGAGAAATTCAGGCAGATCTTCCTCAAATCCGGCTGAAGTCTGATTGTTTTATATATAACATTACCGTTCGCCGCAGCCTTGCCTAGATCTGGTGTTTACTTCCTTTGGGGTATATAATTGCAGCCTTCATGGGACGCTGATCTCAAAAAAGCTTTCCTTTTGCTTTACAGGGACACAAAAAGAATAAGAGTTGGGGAGGGGAATGGAAAAGGTTTGAAATTGGAAAAGAAAAAATACCACCTGTTGTTCTCTACCTGGTGTAAATAGGAAGGATTGTAATACAGGACTTCATTTGCTAGGTGTATATCACTATTTCTTCCTGGGGAACATCTGTCTACTATGATGGTGCAGCTTTGCTATGCAAGAACCCATAGAAAATGTTTTTTTCAAGCTGTCTGTTAAAAGTTTCTAATAGTCTTAAAAGTCTTTTAATGGCTTTGATTTAAACTTACAGCATCCAGTAAATGGTATTTATTATGCTACTTAGTAATACATGAGAAGTTTTTCAGTTGGTTTTGAAATCTGTTACAAAATGTGCACAACTAGTGTGTAAAGTAGAAAACAAATTTTGTTTTGAATCTGGAATAAGCCATTGCTTTCCAGAAGTTCTGCAAACTGTTTACCATATGCAACTATTTTGTTCTATAGGTGATCCCAAGCTTCCAAAATGCTTATGTGTTGATTCAGCCAAAACCAACTGTTCTGTACACAAAAATAGTACGTATATAGTTTTGTGCATTCTTAGTCATATTGATACCAAAGCTGCACATTGCCCAGATGCATACATGTACCATGCCTCAAACCATGATATATGAAAATTAAAAACAAAACAACTTCATTTTATTTATCGAAAACAAGGAAACCACATCTCTAGGTAGCCTAACCAGTGTTCCTTAAAATATGTTCCTGGGATTCTGGACCCCAAAATATCCTCTTCTCGTTGGATTTGTAATAATCGATCATTGTTGGTTTTTTGTTTTCAATTTTTGTGTAATTGTGTAATTGGTTTTCTTCCTCTAATCCTGCAGTTGGTTGCTCAGCCAACTGTCCTCGGTCCTGCAGCCCATTTATCATGAGATGTCGAGGAACTCCAGCACCTAGTGGTCCTTGTTGACCCAGGCAATGACCAATTCAGTATGAATTCTATAAAATACTTGTCACCATATTGTTTATGGGAAAAAACCCTTTGTCTGGCTCCTCTGATGAGACCTCCCCAGTATGGTTGAACCTCTGGCATAGCTGTCTTTTTTTCTCAGAGAACAGAAGCCTCACAACCGTATCAGCCCCAAACAACATTGGAGGATTATTAGTGTACCAACCAGTGGTGGGATTCAAAATTTTTACTATTGCGTGTGGCTTGGTGGGCATGGCTTGGGCATGGCAGGGGAAGGATACTGTAAAATCTCTATTTTCTCCTCATTCCAGGGGAAGGTTACTGCAAAATCCCCATTTCCTCCCGATCAGCTGGGACTCAGGAGGCAGAGAATAGATGGGGGCGGGGGCAGGGCCAGTCAGAAGTGGTATTTACCAGTTCTCCGAACTACTCAAAATTTCC